TATATATATATATATATATATATATATATATATATATATAATATAATATATCAAATTATATATATATATATATATAAGGTCTAAAGTCTCAAAGCGATAATCAATCAATCAATCCTGTCTGATGGATGCGCCCACACATTCGATTTCCATTCAGAGTCGCAGTGGCATTTCGAATGCTTATGTGGTCTACACAGTGACTTGCGGTGGCCAGCCGGTGTACAAGTCAGTCCTTTTATAGTTCCGGACGAGTCTGGTACCATTTAACTGAGAACGGTACCTCTACGATGACAGCTCTTAATGGACTATGACCGCTCTGCCCCAAGTCCCACCAGCAACACGGCAGAATCTTCAGCGCTTGAATTTTGGTTTTAGGAGCGCTCGGTGGCAGTTCACTGGGACTCCACTATCGTTTCCAATCTACGTTGCTGTGCACAATCTACTTCTCATTCCTCGCTACCACGCACGCGTTTTGTTAGAGGCCGTTTTGTTTTGTGAGGTACACTATCATGAAGGATTCTTGCAGAACCAGCTTGACTGAGCGGTTGTGAGCAGTGGAATTTGACACACTAGACTTTTTTATTGAACAAAAACTTATACAAAGATTCCTTCCGGTGTTTTGATTCGGTCATAATCAATGGACGATGGTCTCCCAAACCGCTATGGATCTTCGAAGATGATTTCAACTGGTATAAACTTTGCTCTGTACGCTCCGATAGAGCATTGCTTCTCTATAGATCAGTCACTTTTTCTTAGTTCGAGGCATACTCTTGCTTCCCTCCCCGGTGAAGGAAAAGCATTAAGTGTCGGGATTTCTCGGAAGGCCCTGGGACAGAAACATCGAGAAGAAATGCTTACCTTTCCAGAAAGTATACGATTAGTTAAGGTTGTATTGAAGGTTTCTACGTAAAATAGCCGATAAACTCACTGCAACCAAAATCACTACGAACTTCCCGAATTTCCCGGAAATAATGCAACTAAATCTTTCATAAAAAAAGCTCTAAAACTAACAAAAATAACGTTCCACACGGGACGAGACGCGTAGTGCGAACAATGATAATTTGACGACTTCCTGCTTCTGCTACCATGCCTTCATAGAGCGAGAAATGTTTATCTACAGAACATCATTTTCATGCTTTCATCCTTCGAGCACAACATACACAGGTTTCACTTCATAATCGCACATTTTGCTGACCACTGATAGAATTAAATACAAACAGAGCATTGAACACCCATGAAATCAAGTGAGCCACGACCAGAACTAGCACAGTCGGCTTTTCCATTGTTGTGAGGGCGGGTGATGAGGAATTAGGAAGTTTCGCTAATGTTACTGGTAGTGAGGGTTGGGTTATTGATGGGCCTGTTTGAGAAATAGGGGAAGTTATTGAAGTGCTTCTTGGTGGAGTTGACGATGTAGTTGACACTGTGTTTGGTGTTTGCGGAGTAATCGATAGTGGCGTGGTTGACTATCCCCAAAGTCGTAGACAACGCTTCGGGAGTCGTAGCAGTGGTTGTTGGAGTCGTTGAAGGAAAAACAGTCGTAGTTGCCGGAGGAACAGCTGTGGAAGTTGTTTGTGAATAGGATGAGTTTGTTACATTCACCGGCGGTGAGAAGGAGTCATTGTAGAAATGGTAGATGACGATAGTGGCATCATTGGAGTACTCGGTATCGATTGCAGTGAACTTGTAGACGGGTTTCTATAAAAATCGAACATATATCCGTCTAAAACCCTAGTGAATGTGATGAGGCTGAGTATTAAAAGAATTTAATAACCTAACACTCGGGATAGTTGTCCATGAACGACGTGATGACGTACCTAGGCTCTGAGGCAGAGCGCCTTGCGATGTGCATCAAATCCGACTGTGATGGAAGGTTGGACCGTGCTCTTATATGATAGCAGTCAAACTTGTGGGCGGTGACGTCAATTGAGCAGTCGTACATATATACAATTATTAGATTGATGCATAAGTTTTTTCTCCTACTTTTTTGTAAGTACCTCAATAGCGAACCAACCAGAAGATCGGGGGATACGCACCATCACAACTCGACGCCAACGCTCAGGCAGTTTGTCGATTCCTCCTTCCCAAAAGAACGGAGGCTGGAACGTGAAGGAGTCGTTGAGTGCCTTCATGGCGTCATCCATTGTTTCAAATTTTTTTCCATCCAGAGAGCGCTGTAAGTAGTCGAACAACCAGGTAATCGTAAGGAGCGAGGTCACGGTTCTGAGGGGGAGGGGGGGGGGGGGGGGGGGGGGGGGGGGGNGGGGGGGCTGGGCGACAATCAGCTATTCGCACTTCTTCAGCTCGGCCTGGGTCGCCTTTGCAGTGTGAGGTCGAGGGTTGCCATGGTTGAAGTAGATTTCCGCATTCTATCCACGAGTGCGGTCGACGTGATCATCCAGTTTCCACAGCCGGGTGACAATGTAGAAGCGTCAATCGTTTGTCCCTTCGTGAGCAGCTCCCACCACTGCTCAATGGGTCTTCTGAACCACCAACAAAACATAACGTCCTTGGGATAAAGGTCGGCTCTTGGGTGGATTCTGGCTGTTCTCCTTTGTCG